GCTTTGTGGCTCCCTCCCATACTCTATCTGGGCTAACCATGTGGAGCTAGTAGAATGCAGCTGAAGTGATGTTGCATGACTCCCAAGAGTAAATCTTAAGAACCCTTGCAGGCCGGCGCCGCGGCTCACTAGGCTAATCCTCCGCCTAGCGGCGCCGGCACACCGGGTTCTAGTCCCGGTTGGGGCGCTGGATTCTGTCCCGGTTGCCCCTCTTCCAGGCCAGCTCTCTGCTGTGGCCAGGGAGTGCAGTGGAGGATGGCCCAGGTGCTTGGGCCCTGCACCCCATGGGAGACCAGGAAAAGCACCTGGCTCCTGGCTCCTACCATCGGATCAGTGCGGTGCGCCGGCCAAAGCGCGCTGGCCGCGGCGGCCATTGGAGGGTGAACCAATGGCAAAGGAAGACCTTTCTCTCTGTCTCTCTCTCTCTCACTGTCCACTCTGCCTGTCAAAAAAAAAAAAAAAAAAAAAAAAAAAAAACCCTTGCAAATTCTGCTTGGGTTTCTGGAACATTCACTCTTGGGACATTACCTTTCTTTTCCTTTGTTTTTTAAAGATTTATTTATTTATTTATTTAAAAGTCAGAGTTGGGGGGGGCGGGAGAGATACGGAGAGAGAGATATTCCATTCACTGGTTCATGCACAGATGGTCACAACAATGATGTTGGGCGAGGCCAAAGCGAGGAGCCAGGAGCCAGCAAGTTCATCCAGGTCTCCCACGTGGGACATTATCTTTCTTTTTTTTTTTTTATTTTTATTTTTGACAGGCAGAGTGGACAGAGAGAGAGAGAGACAGAGAGAGAAAGGTCTTCCTTTGCCGTTGGTTCACCCTCCAATGGCCGCCGCTGCAGCCGGCGCACCGCGCTGATCCGATGGCAGGAGCCAGGATCCAGGTGCTTTTTCCTGGTCTCCCATGGGGTGCAGGGCCCAAGCACCTGGGCCATCCTCCACTGCACTCCCTGGCCATAGCAGAGAGCTGGCCTGGAAGAGGGGCAACCGGGACAGAATCCGGTGCCCCAACCGGGACTAGAACCCGGTGTGCCGGCGCCGCAAGGTGGAGGATTAGCCTATTGAGCCACTGCGCCGGCTTGGGACATTATCTTTCAAAATGTACCTTCCATACTGAAAAATCCCAAGCCACAGGGAGAAGCTCCATGTTTGTATCTGGTGGAGGGCACTACCTGAGCTACTAGTCAACAGCTAGAACCAACTGTCCACCACGTGAGTGAGCCATCTGCTAGGCCAAGTCCATCCATGGCTTCTGATAAACACACTAATTAGCACCATCTGAAAGCAACTGTTTGAGAGGCCTAAAGCAAGAACTGCCCAGCTGAGCTATGAAAGATAAGGAACTGTTGTTTGTAAGCCATTAATAATCACAGTTTTTAGCAGCAACAGAAAAATAAGAATACTGCCAAAGACCTTTTCAAACTATTGTAGCCAATTTATATCCCCATCAGTTAAGTGTGGCGATATCATATCTTGGCAAGAATATGAATCAACTAGAATTCTTACATTTTTGTTGGTGAAAGATGCTGATAGATGTACAGTGTTAGGCTTTAAAAAATCAATAACTTTATATATAATCATATACCAAACAATTAAATCATTTACATTGAGCAATTTGATGTGTTTTTTTTATATATCTATAGTGTTATGAAAGTGCCACCACAATCAGTTTGGGAACATTTTTATCACTTCAAAAACAAAAGACCCCATGCCCATTAGCCATTACTCTCCTTTCCCTACCAACCTCTCAGCTGTAGGCAACCACCAATTTACCCCGGCTGTATAGATTGCATACTGAATGTTTTATGTAAATGGAATCACAAAGTATGTGCCATAATGTCTTCAAGATTAGTCTATATGGAAGCATGTACCAGTAATCCTTTCCTCTTATGGCTGAATAATGTTCCATTTTGTTGTGTAGCAAACAGAATGGCCCTCCACAAGAGAGCCCCATCCTAAGCCACAAAGCTGTGAATGTGAACTTCTACAACAAAAGAGAATCGGGAGACATGTTCATGCAAATAATAGTTTTTTTAAAAAACAAGATTTATTTATTCACTTGAAAGACAGAGTTACAGAGAGGCAGAGGCAGAAAGAGAGAGAGAAAGTCTTCCATCGGCTGGTTCACTCCCCAAATAGCCCCAACAGCCGGAGCTGAGCCTATCCAAAGCCAGGAACAAGAAGCTTCTTCCGGGTCTACCACGTAGGTGCAGGGGCCTAAGCACTTGGGCCACCCTCTGTGCTTTCCCAGGTACCTTAGCAAGAAGCTGGGTCAGAAATAGAACAGCCAAGACTTGGCCCAGCACCTCTATGGGATGTCAGCACCGCAGGCGGAGGCTCTACCTGCTGCGCCACAAGGCTGGGCCTACTAACAATCTTGAAATGGGGAGGTTATCTTGAAGTATTGGGTGAGGGGGTGGACAGTGTAATCACAGGGGCTCATACAGAGAGAAACAAGACAGCCCAAGTCAGAAGAGTGATCTGACCCAGGAATGGGGGAAGATGTTAGAGGCAGCCGGACTCCAGGAAATCAATTCTGTATCACAATCTGTTGGTGTCTCATAGACGGCCTTTATAGCATTGAGAAAATGTCCTTTTCTTTCTAGTATGTTGAGTGTTTCAGTACTAAAAGTGTGTTTAATTTTTCAATGCTCTGCTGAAATGATCTCGTGATTTTTAATCCTAATCTCAAAATAACATGTTGTATTAATGAATTTTCAATTGTTAAATTAGGTTGTTTTGTTCTGGCATATAATTCTTTGTATATTTTGCTGGGTTTGATTTGATTGAGCATTTTTGCTAAGGACTAGTGACATGCAGTTTTCTTGTGGCCTTTGGTTGGCTGTGGGATCAGGCTGATCTGGGCTCATACATTGAGTTGGGAATTGTTCCTCCCCTTCTCTTCTCCACAGGAGTCTGAAGGATTGGGTGTTAATTCTTTAAACCTCAAGTCGAGTTTACTGCTGAAGCGTTTTGAGCCTGGGCTTTTATTTGTGGGAAAAATTTTATTACAAATTGAATCTGTTGGCCGGAGCCACTCTCACTAGACTAATCCTCTGCCTGTGGCGCCGGCACCCCAGGTTCTAGTCCCGGTTGGGGCGCCGGTTCTGTCCCAGTTGCTCCTCTTCCAGTCCAGCTCTCTGCTGTAGCCTGGGATGGCAGTGGAGGATGGCCCAAGTGCTTGGGCCCTGCACCCACATGGGAGACCAGGAGGAGGCATCTGGCTCCTGGCTTCAGATCAGTGTAGTTCTGGCCGTAGTGGCCATTAGGGGAGTGAACCAACGGAAGGAAGACCTTTCTCTCTCTAACTCTGCTTGTCAAAAAAAAAAAAAAAACAAAAAAACAAAAACAAAAAAAAAACAAAAAACAAATTGAATCTGTTAACATATTATATATATATAGTCCATTCAAAATTTTCTATCTCTCCCTGAGCCAGTTTTATGGTTTCTATCTGTCTGGGAATTAGTCCATTTAAGTTATCTAATTTGATTAAATGCATTAGCTCTTAGCTTTCTTCTATTATTGTTTTTATTTGTTTAAAGTAAATAATAGGGGCCAGTGAATGCCGGTTTGAGTCCCAGCTGCTCCACTTCCTATCCAGCTCCCCGCTAATGTGCCAGTGAAAGCAGTGGAAGATGGCCCATGCGCTTGGGCCCTTGCACCCACGTGGATGGAGTTCTAGACTCCTGGCTTCGGTCTGGCTTGGGACTGGCCATTGGTGCCATTGGGGAGTTAAACAATCGATGGAAAATCTCTTTGTTTCTGTCTCTCCCTCTCTTTTTGTAACTCTGCCTTTCAAATAAATAAATAAATCTTTTTAAAATGAAGTAATAATGTCCCCTTGTTTTGCTCTGTCTCTTTGTATTCCTTTCTCCCCATTTCTCTCAGTCTGTATCTCCATCAATGCAGTTCAAAATTTATAAACCTTGTTCAAAGACACAACTTTTGGTTTCATCAACTTTTGTATTATTTTTCTTTCCTCTTTTTTATTGATATAATTGTTCAGTCATTATTGCTTTAAGTTTAATTTGCTGTCTGTTTTCAGTGTCTTGAAGTACAAGTTCAGACTATTGATTTGCAATGTTTGTTCTTTTTTGTCATCACGTTTTTACGGGTAAAAAGTTTCCTGTAAGTACTGCCTTAACTGTGCCCTCTAAGTTTTGTCATGTTGAAATTGGATCTTGTTTACACCGTAAGTATGTTGTAACTTCCCTTTAATTTCTTCTTTACCCAATTTTCTTCAAACCAATGCTTATGTAGGAATTTGTTGTTTAGTTCCCATATATGTTAATTTCCTTATGTTATTAATTTCTATTTCAATTCCATTGTGGTCAGAGAAGATACTTTTTACGATTTCAGTGCTTGCAAATTTATTGAGGCTTGCTGTAGCACAGCATATGATCTGTCATGGAGTATTGTCCACATGCACTTGAGAATGTCATTGGGTAAGGTATTGCTTCTGAACCCAGCTCCAACATTGAATTTGCTGCCATCTCTGGTGGTTTCAATGATCCAAAAATCATAAATCATTATATAAGTGAAAATGAGTGCTGAGTCTGTGAGTAAGTATGCGATTCACCTTATTCCATACTCTTCTTAGACATGGACTAATTGTCAGTAATTGTCTTAATTACTGTACTTCTATAGCAACTCTTGAAATCTGATGGTAAAATTCCTCCAGATGTGTTCTTATTTAAGATTTCTTTGGCTATTCTGAGGCTTTTGCATTTCCATATAATTGTCAATTTACACAAAACTACATTGAGAAACACATATGCCTATTGGGATTTTGATCAAGCTGAATTGACTTTATAAGCCAATAAGGAAAACTTGGACATAATAATATTGGGTTATTTTGTTCATTGACATGGTATATTTCTCCATTTATTTATATGTTCTTTAACTTTATTCAGTAATACTTTATAGTTTTCAATGCCTTGAAAATCTTTTATCAGACTTATTTCTCTTTTTAAATATTTGTTTGAAAGGCAGAGAGAGAAAGAGATGAGAGAGAGAGACTGAGAGACACAGAGAGATCTTCCATCCACTGTTGTACTTCTCAAATGCCTGCAGCAGCTGGGACTGGGCAAGCCGGACCAAAGCCAGGAACCTGTAACTCAAACTGGGTCTCCCAGGTGGGTAGTGGGGATCCAAGTACTTAAGCCATTACCTGTTGCCTCCTAGGATGCGCATTAGCAAGAAGATGGTATGGTGGTGGGGGGTAGGGAGGTAGGGGCACGTGTGGAGCAAGGGTTTGAACCCAGCCAGGCACTGTTGTATGGGGTGCAGGGATCCCAAGCAGTGAATGACCACTGTGTCAAATGCTCACCCGTAGATGTATTTCTAGAAATTCATTTTTAAAATAGAATTGTAAGTAGTATTGTTTTTCAAATTTTGTTTTTTCAATTGGTTGTTGCTAGAATACAGAAATACAACTTATTTTATGTACTGATGTCAAAGTTCATCAGCCAAGCAGTTCACATGATTGTTATTTATAGATTCTCTGACAATTTCTACACCTATGATTGTTCTAAATTTCACTCTGCTCTGTCACATGTATCATTCTTCTTCAATTGTTTCCCAGACTGTAGACCTCTATTTTTTTGTGTGTTCCATTAAAATGTCTATTTTATCCTGGCGACTGTTACAGTTGATGGTTAAACCAGCAGACACATCTGTTGTTCCCCAGAGAAACTGGACACTGCACTGCTCTGTCCAGTTGAATGCAGAATATTACAATATTGCTCACAAAAGCTAAGATTGACTCTGAAAAGAATTGTCTTCAACCTGAAACTTTCTGTTTACATGAGAGCTTAAGGTAGCTTATTTTTCTGGCTCACAAATATAGATTCCCAAGTTACCCTTTCGAATGCATTTCTTGTGAGGTTTGTCTTTAGTCATGGGCTGACTGTGAATTCCCAGCAAAATTTACACTTCCCTTTTCTCTCTCCATTTCTCTTTTTTCTGAAATGCAATACTGGCTACTTCCTGTGCTGAGTGTTAATATTAATAAGAAGAAATCTAAGTTTTCTAATCATTTCCACAGTGACATAATCCATGACAGCCACAAAAAGCCTTTCTTTATGAGGCCAAAGGATTTGATTAGTTTTAGTGCCTTAATACAACGGCTGTGTTCTGATAACTTGGGGCTTTGTACACAAACTATGTTGAGTCAAGTTGGAAGAAGCATTTTGTAATACACCTTATCAGCAAAATTCAGATAACATCATTTTTGAAAAGAGACTTTGGCTCAGTTCTGGTTTAAAAATTACTCTTGTGCAGAATTGCAGAAGTATATATATATGGTCCCCTGGTTGGATTGCCAGTTTAGTAATTTTGAGGTTCCTCTGCCACAGAGCTTGGGTTCAGATCAACCCCCACATCTGCGGTGTTCCCTGTGGAGAGGCACTGTTTGAAAGACCGTTCCTCACAGAGCCGAGAGCGATGTCATCACAGAGGCTGCCCCGTGAGCTCCATACCTTCCAGGGCATGCTCTTGCCCACCACATCTTCAAAAGAGCTTCTCAATTCCCTCGATTCTTTCGACGCGAGAGAAGATGATGTGTTTCTGGTTTCCTATCCAAAATCTGGTAAGCTTGACTTTGTGTGATTTTTTTTTTTCAAATGGAGAAATGGAATGAGATAAATAATAATCATTTTTGCAAAACATATATTTTCCAAAATTTTTTCACATCTCTAGTTTCTAACATATGTATGATATATAATAGCCACAATGTCTATAATATTAGAAAGTTCTCATCATACTTTGTACCAGACATAGTGATAATTGTTTATTTAATTCACACTAAATGATTGATGTACAAATAAATGATATTTTTCTTCTGTCCTAATTAGAACCATAAATATTTTTATTATTAAGGAGATTTTAATTCCCAATTTATTCTCACTTGTAGGTATACACCCATGAAAGGACAATTATTATAATATCATCCTGTCAATAATTCAAATTAGCTATATATTATTTCCTGTTCTTTTTTTTTTTTTAAAGATTTATTTATGTATTTGAAAGGCAGAGAGAGAGAGAAATTCTGTACACTGGTTTGCTTCCCAAATGGCTACAGAAGCCAGAACTGGGCTAGGCTCAAGACAATAAGCAGTCATTAAAAAAAAAAGACAATAGGTAGGAATTCCATCCAAGTCTAGCACATGAGTGGCAGAGGCCCAAATAACTGGGCCATCTTCTGCCGCCTTCCCAGGCATATTAGCAGGAAGGTGGTTCGGAAGCGGAGCCGCCAGGTCTTGAACCCACACTCTGACATGTGATGCCAATGTTACAAGCAGCTGCACAGCGCCCACTGCGCAGTGCCAGCCTGTAATTTTTCTTTCTGCGGTGACCAGGGTATATCACACCCAGTTGTCTGTTGTTGCTATTTACAGAGTGGTTGACATGCGGGATGTCATCTGCCTCTTCGCTAGCCTGAGTTCAGCAACTAAGAACCAAGCGCCCCTCAGCTGTGGGTACATGCAGACCCCTCTTCCGAGGTCCAAGAGACCCTCCCTCTGGGAAGATCCCAAATTCACATAAGGCCAGAGTCCTTGGGGTGTTTTTGTGGATCAATATAAACCAGATATATATTTTATTTTTGGAAAATATAGCCGCAAAGGGAAATTAAATAATTGCCCTCAGAATGCCCCCCAAGTAAAATTAAATGTATTAAGTTATAGGTAATTCTATTTTTATTTCAAAATTGCTGTGCTAGTTTAAAAAATAATTTATGGTACTTAGGTTTTTTTTTTTTAAATTGTTTATTTATTTTAAAGGCAGAATGACAGAGATGGACGAGGACAGAGATCTGCCATCTGCTAGTTCACTCAACAAATGCCCACAACAACTGGGGCTTGGCCAGGGGTACTCCAAGAGCCCAGAACTCAATCTGGGTCTCCCATGTGGGTAGTAGGGACCTGAGTCCTTGAGCCATCACCTGCTGCTCCCTAGGGTGCACATTATCAGGAAACCGGAATCAAGAGCAGAGTGGGATTGAACCCAGTACTCTGATATAGCAATGTGGGCATCCCTAGTGGCACCTTAACTGCTATGGTAAATGCCCAACACAATGTATGATATTTTAAATGCTCTTAGAACAGGTGGCAAAGTTATTCCACATGCAAACAATCAGACATAAGCTTCCACTGTACTTGTTGGTGGCTGTACATTAATAGCCCCTGCCATCTAAAAGCAGCAGCTACCCAAATATCCCCTTCAGGTACAAAATCCCTGTATATATACACTCTCTCTGCTTCATCAGAATAAGTCAGTGGGTTTTGTAAAATAATATGGGGGCACGTGCTTGGCACAACAGTGAAGACACTGCTTGGGACACCCACCTCCCATAGCACAGTGCCTGTGTTTGAGTCCCCTTTGTGTTCTTGATTTCAGCTTCCTGCTAATGCATACCCCGAGAGGCAACAGGTGAGGGCTCAGACCGTGGGTACCTGCCAACCACATGGCAGGCCCAGACTGAGTTCCCGGCTCCTGCTTCAGCCTGACCCAACCTCGGCTGTTGCAGGCATATGAGGAGTAACTCAGCTGATGGAAGATCTCTGTCTCTGTCACTGTCTCTCTGCCTTCAAATATTAATTAATTAAAAGACAGTAAAAATAAAAAAATCACTACTTCATAACTCACATTGGTATGAATAGTATAACTATAAATATTTAAGACATGAACATTATAATCTAAGTCAATCTTAAAATACAATGCAAATGAGAGTGCTGTTTAAGTATTTATTCCACTGTAAGGTTTTCGTATTGTATCTCATTGAAGTTACAGGGAAGTAAGTGGAGACTAGGCTTGATTCAGATTCTCTGGGGACATTGGTTCTAAACTAGAAAACATCCCCGGCCGCCATGGCTCACTAGGCTAATCCTCCGCCTTGCGACGCCGGCACACGGGGTTCTAGTCCCGGTTGGGGCGCTGGATTTTGTCCCGGTTGCCCCTCTTCCAGGCCAGCTCTCTGCTGTGGCCAGGGAGTGCAGTGGAGGATGGCCCAAGTACTTGGGCCCTGCACCCCATGGGAGACCAGGATAAGCACCTGGCTCCTGCCATCGGCCATTGGAGGGTGAACCAATGGCAAAGGAAGACCTTTTTCTCTGTCTTTCTCTCTCACTGTCCACTCTGCCTGTCAAAAAAGAAAAGAAAAAAAGAAAGAAAGAAAACATCCCCCCACCCTCTGCACAATTCTCTTTCTCTGCTCCAGTTTGCTTCTGTCTAAGCATGGGAGCATTGCCCCCAATTGCTTTCTGTAAACATCGAGTTGTAGTCCTTCCAGGCGCCATGGTAACAGGCTTATGGCTCTATGATGTTTGGAAATAGCATACATTCATGGTTCAAATACTTTGTTTCACAATTCCTCTCTGCACACACACACAGAGCAGGCTCATGGTCTCTCTCTAAGGGGAAATGGGGAGATAGACATATACACAAGTGATGGCAACTGTGTGCTAGAAGGTGCTCCTATCAAGGTAGGGGCTGAGACGCTGGGGAGATACAGAAGGGTGAGCAGTGCCACCAGGGGTAGGGCCCAGTGATACACCAGCTCACAGGACCGGTGGGCATGGCTTCTGGAAAGATCCGCATGATCTGGGCAAGGGGGGAGGGTCTGGGGCTGAGTGCGGCCATAGAAGAGGGTTTCAAGCTGAGCCCACAGCATGTTATTTTCATAACCCTTCAGCTCTTTAAGATGTGATTCACTTGCCAAATGAATTAGCATCTCAAGTGTCTCAACAGGTTTCAAGGGGTGTCGGCGGTAATAATAACCGTGTATGATAGAATTAATGCTTTCGTTGCTTTTGCAGTATGCTCATTTTCTATATTTGTTTCATCAAGAGTGACATTTAATTAAACTTGTGTTTCATTTTATGTTTACGTCAAGGTACTCACTGGGTTGCAGAAATCATTGAGAATATTCCCAGCGCTAGAATTACCCTCACACCTCCTATCGAATTGGGAGACATTTCCAGACTTGAAGAGCTAAACATGTATTCTGGGAGAAGGGTAATTCCAACGCACTTGAGCTACAACCTGATACCCTTGGATGTTAAACAAAAGCAATGTAAGGTAAATTCTGGGGCTAAGGGCCGACTCTTGGGAGTCTGGCATGGATTTCTGCTCTGCCACACAGCTTGAAAGCAACAGAACAAATGCCATTTGTACAGGGGTACTTCAAGAAGCCTGATAAATCATAGAATTAAACAATGTTTATTTTGATGTAAAAAAATGAAATTCAGGCCTAGTTTTTTCGGAATATGAAATTTCCATGAACTTCTTAAAATGCCCTCCAATTTTAATTGTTTTAGCTATCATTTTTGCAAGGGATTATATAGAAAAGGAAAAATATAAATTTTAATATAAACAGTGAAGAATAGTTATCTCAGGACATTTTTATAGGACACGTATTATTTTAGAAATGTATTCTAATTTAAAAGAATGTTTTCTACTTTTGTATTTTTCTTATTGCAATTTTTTTCCTGGAGAAACGTTTATGGGATAATGGTAAGTAGAAGCTGCATTTTAAAGTCCATTTCTACTGCCTGTTTAGCTAAATATACATACAGAGGGACCTAAAAAGAAGAATAAGGGTACAGCAGATAGAAGACTGTATGGGGCTGGCGCCGCAGCTCACTAGGCTAATCCTCTGCCTGCGGTGCTGGCACCCCGGGTTCTAGTCCCGGTTGGGGTGCCAGATTCTGTCCCGGTTGCTCCTCTTCCAGTCCAGCTCTCTGCTGTGGCCCGCGGGAGTGCAATGGAGGATGGCCCAAGTCCTTGGGCCCTGCACCCACATGGGAGACCAGGAGGAAGCACCTGGCTCCTGGCTTCAGATCAGCGCAGTGCGCCGGCTGCAGCGTGCCAGCTGAAGCGGCCATTTGGGGAGTGAACCAACGGCAAAGGAAGACCTTTCTATCTCTCTCTCTCTCTCTCTCTCTCTCACTGTCCACTCTGCCTGTCAAAAAAAAAAAAAAAAAGACTGTATGGTACAGCAGTAAAGCTGCCACTTGGGACACCCACATCCCATACTGGAGTGTCTGGGTTTGAGTACCAGCTCCACTTCTGAGTCCAGCTTCCTGCTAATGCACACCTTGGGAGACAGCAGGTGACAGTTCAAGTACTTGGGGGCCTGCCATCCATGTGGGAGACCTAGATTGAGCTCAGGGCTCCTTGGATCAGCCTGATTTTTGCAGGTATTTGGGAGAATGAACCAGATGGCTGTCTCTTTGAGTCTTTCTGTCTCTTTCTGCCTATCAAATAAATAAATAAAAAGTTTAAAAAGACCAGATTTAGTTGTATTAATGAGTCAAGTGATTGTTGATAGTATGATGTTAGGTTGGATATTATTTTCTTTAGAGACCAAATGGTACTTGTAAAAGTTCATAGAAAATATAATTAAAAGTTTATTTTGGTGCAACAAGTTTTGAAATCCATGCACAGAGAGGTCTTCAAAAAAATCATGGAGATGTGTATTATGAAAAAGCTGCATGCATTTCAACAATTTTTTCTCCAAAGTTAACTTATCTTTTAATACAATTTTCCATGAACTTCTAGAAGTACTTTTGTGTGTATAAGAGCATTTTTTTCAAATTCTATTTAATTAAAATAAATAATTGAAAAGTAAAGGCAAGAGATGCGATACATGTGACAGCTGGAACCAGTTTGCAGTAATGAAGTCTCTCAACAGCATCAGCTGTAATCTAAGCAGCAAAACCCAAGCAACCTCCAAGCAAAATGTGCATAAACCAAAGCTGATCTTCCCTCGATTGTAATTCTGTGACCACAATGCCTGTGTGCACACCACCTACTCTTCTGCCCAAACAAAAGTAAACACAATCAACTGGAGATAACATGTCATGGAGTTTTGCTTCTGTCTGTGGCAAATCTGTCCGAATTGGGGAGGGTGTATTAACTTGATTGCACTCTCACGCAACCAGTCATTTTCATTGCAAACAGATGGTTTCTAAGACAGAGAAGGAAAGGAGGAACTAGAGAAATGAGAGAGAGAGACAGAGAGAGGGAGGAAGGGAGAGAGAGAGAGAGAGAGAGAGAGAGAGAGAGATGAAGAGAAGATTGAAGGTTTATGGAGAAACGGAAGTCAGGCAGTTCAATAACCGTGACCCGGGACCTTTCAGTGACGTTGATAATGAGAGTCTATCAGGCATTAAGCTATGTGTTCCATATGCTTTACAACAATGACAAATGTAGGTGTTTTTCCTTTCATTAGATAAAGAGAGCAAAGCTCAGACAGGTTAAGGTGTTTCTTATCCACCACACCGAAGATGCAGCCTGGAGATACAGTATGGCCTTGTGGGACTTGGATTCTCTGCTGGCCCAAGCCTCCTATGGGACTGGCCTGCTCACTGTCACTGAGGGCTGAGCTCCTGGGAGCTGGAGCTCAACCAGCCTTCCTTGCCCAGGCAGGGCCTGCCAGGCTGTGAGTGCCTCCCCCAGTCTTTCCCTACCAACTCTCAACCCTACTTGGCCTTCTATGTTTTTCCTAATCCTTGTTTCTCCTATTTTTGTAAAAAAAAATTAAGTTAATGCCTTTTGTTGTTGTTGTTTATTTGAAAGGCAGAGAGACAGAGAAAGGCAGAGCTCTGATTCACTCCCTAAATAACTGCAACAGCTGGGGCTAGGCCATGCCAAAGCCAGGAGCCAGGAACTCCATCTGGGTGTCCTGTGTGAGCGTAGGCACCCAAGTACTTCAGCCATCACCTGCAAGGGTTTGCGCCAGCAGGAAGCTGGATTGGAAATGCAGCCCTCCGACCTGGGATGTGGGCACCCCAAGTGGCATGCTAACTGCCATGCCAAACATCTGCCCCTTGTTTCTCCACTTTGATGTTTGTGAATTCTCTTCTATAAAATGCATGCTTTCTAGTTCATTTCCTGATGTTTTAATATTTGTGTCCACTTGTAATCTTCCAACCTCCTCCATAATTATCCTAATTTCTTATAATATGCAAATATTATGGATTTCAGAAATTTTGCACCAAAATAAGCCTATCTGTTAATTCCATTTTCCATGAACTTTTTGAAGTTACCACATATTCTCTGGCAAAACATGTGATCATGGGTTGCGTTCTTTCCCAGTGGGTATATGGACACGTAATTTGCAGGGGTGTGGGGGTCTCCAAAGCCCTAAATAAATCTTTTCTTCATCCAAATATGTCCAACTGCATGAATGAGGCTTTCCCAGTTGTGTCCCTTTTCGCAAAGGCAGGGGAATATTGAGAATGTTCTCTGAATCTTGGGACTCTGTGCACCTGCCCAGGAGGCCTAGAGCAGTTAGAGAAAGCCTACTGAGTGGGTTAGTCCACATTATCTCTTGGGATAAAGAAAGGGTCGTGGAGAGGGTTAAAGGTGGTTTTCATTGCTGCCCACGGTGACCTTTAGTCGTCTCTCAAAGAGGATCAGGCACTGTACGTGTGGACCCCATAGTCCCTGGACTGTGAACATGACTCAGAAAGCTAGTTATGGATTGAAAATGACTCAGCAAACTCTCTTATCGAAGTAAAATGTGTCCGCCCTGATTGCCGGTGAAAAAGCAAGAACATCTTGTACTCACCGAATGTTGAACATGGTTCAGAATATTCCTCTTCTATCAGGTTTCTCACTCTGGTGTCCTGAGGCTGCTCATACGCCCCTACTCCGCCTAAGGCTTCCCCTGTTACACTGCATTGGCGAGGGCACATGTGACTATCTGCCTGCCTCACTCGACTAAGTACTGAGGGCACTGAGACCGTTTTGTCTTCCTCCTCATTACATTTATTGGATCTGGAACAATGCATAATGTCTGGTATACAGTAGATACTAAATAAATAGTGCATTGAATTAAACTGAAGTTGCCATGTTTATGGAAACTGGAAGGATGTCTTTGATTCCCTACTCTTTCAAGGGTTAAATGTTAGAAGAAAACATTATTTGTCCTATAAATAAATATACATAATTTGTAAGAAATCTGACTACATGTAAATCAATTGCATAATACATGGATATTTTTAAAGTATTTTTTTTCCTGCAAATGATAGGGTTTTCCCTGTGTATGTTCCTAAAAGTTAGGGCTGAATTTAGCCCCTAAATATAAAATGGGAGGTCAGTGGACAGGCAGCATCAGCAGCGCCTGGGAACTTGTGAGAAATGCTGGCAGGATACCAGGCTTCCTCCAGTGCCCCTGAATCCATGTTCGCAGTTTCCTAAGATCCCCGATGGTTCTTACGCATGTTAAGTTGTAAGAGATTCTGACCCAAGTCTGTCTGTACTTCGCAGTGGGAGCTACCAAAATCTTGAGATTTGCACATCTTGGGATTTGAGCTGCTTCTTTTAGGACGGTTTTTAAAAAGATTTATTTATTTATTTGGAGGTATGGGGTGGAGAAACAGAGAGCGAGCGAGAGAGAGCTTCCATCTGCTTCTTTACTTCCCAGATGGCACATCAGCCTGGGCCACACTGAAGCCAGGAGCCAACTTCTCCATCCGGGGGTCCCAAGTGCGTGGCAGGGACTCAAGTAGTTGAGCCATCATTTACTGTCCCCCGAGTGCATTGGCAGAGAACTGGATCAAAGTGGGATAGCCAGGACTCCAATCAGCACTCCAGTGTGGAATGAGGGCATCGCCAAGTGGCAGTACTGTGGTTAATTCCACCCAAGAATAAACTGATTTTTTTTAACAGATTATCTACATTGTGAGGAATCCGAAAGACACAGCTGTTTCTCTCTTCCATTACTACAGAGATAACCCCCGCCTTCCCAGTGTGGAAACCTGGGCTGCATTTTTAGAGCTGTTCCTACAAGGAGATGGTAAATATCACAAACATTGTTATTTGTGACGTGCAGTGAACTTTCTAGCTCACAAGGAAAGCATTGGCTGAATTCTAACTGCATGTTTTTGGAAGTACACATGCATTGACCACATCACTCTTTTATTTCTTAGCAAATTCTTTCTCAGCTTTTTCTCAATCTTTCTTGTCACAAATAGGTAGACCTTATTAGTGATTCATTGAACTGGTTTTTATGTTGTCAGAATAGAGATTAAATCTGGATATGAGCATTAGGGTTTTTTGCATTATTATTTTTTATTTTGAGTCTTTTCATTGAAAGAATTATGCACTGATTAGAGTGTTAAAAGAGAAAGCAGAGACCTGAACAGGTACCCTGACACATGCCTTAAACTCATCTATGCCTGGCTGGGAAGTAAAGCAACACAAATAAACTAACAGGAGACACACACACTCACACACATTCCCCCAGACAAACAATTAAATTTTCAAAGAATTGTCTTCATCAAAACGAACAGAAAGTCATTCCTCCCGCAAACACCACAGTGGAACAGGATTCCATTGTGCTGTGCAGAACACCCTGCAAGGCCTTGGAATGTATTCCTCTCCCCAAGACTCACTTCAAAAGCTACAAAGCAAACTAGTCTCAATTCCCAAGCCTTTTAGTAAACAAGAATAATATACGAAGACTGCGCAGTGTTTAGAGGAGACATGTGTTAGAAATAGCTAGAACACGGAGAAGTTCTTGTCTCTCACTGGGCTGGGCTAGATCCTCACTGCTAATTGCGCTGTTTTGCTTGTAAAGTGTGAAACTTTGACTTGTTAACATCAGCGAAGTAACAGCAGGGGTGCCCAGTTAATGTGAGGATGTGGACAATTCACCCACAATGGCTTCATTCTGTTTGCTCTGCTCTCTGTAGAAGTCGTTAAGCTCACACCCTTGTGACTTCTCTTTCGGATTTGTTTTCCTCCTTCGCTACTGATCCACATCTAGTTAGAATCAGGAATGACAGATATTTTAAAACTTATCTAGTCACCCATCTGATGTGTGGATCACCCATGCAGGACCCCCAGAGTCGTGCACTATGACCTTGGCCATCTTAACCCTTGCTGCAGGTTCATCAACCCTTGAAACCATATATTGCATCTTGGGACTTGCAAGGTGTTTTGTAAAAAATTTTTTAAAAAATTGCCGTGGAATACAGACACATAGCTAAGTGCTAGGCTAACATTATCTCATTTCATCCTCACTTGAGGACCATAGGTAGATGTTGTTATCCTGATTTTATAACTGAAAAAAATGAAAATGCAAACCTTGAGAGGCCAAGTAACTTGTCCACTGATGCATAACCAGCAAGGAGCAGATCCAAGATTTAAAGCCAGGTGTCCGCTCCAAAATCTTCGCACTTCATTCTGGGCCATCGTCTATCCAGAAAGCAAGAGGTCTTCCGATCATTAATTCCACTTTCCCACGATCGCCTTCTAAATATTTGGAGATAGCGTGCTTCACTCCACCTCAATTCCATTTTTGGAATCAGCAGAGTTTAAATACATAAATTATTGTTCTTAGAACAGACCTCGAGTCTGCTTTTCCTCAACACAAGAAATGCCGTGTCTGTCTACCCTTATTCCACACTGAGGGTCCCCGGCCCTCCCTGCTGGGCAAGCTTCTATCAGGCGCATCCTCCTTGCTGTGTGATGGGTAGAAGGCAGAGCACAGCTTGCTGTGGTCTAAGGAGGCCCGGCTGGAGCAGGACTGTCACTGCTCCTGATCTGGAGATCAGTTTTCTATAAATGCTCCACAGAAATGCCAGTGCAGGGGCATTTTTTTTTTTTTTTTGACAGGCAGAGTGGACAGTGAGAGAGAGAGACAGAGAAAGGTCTTCCTTTGCCGTTAGTTCACCTCCAATGGCCGCTGCGGCCGGCGCACCACGCTGATCCAATGGCAGGAACCAGGTGCTTATCCTGGTCTCCCATGGGGTGCAGGGCCCAAGTACTTGGGCCATCCTCCACTGCACTCCCTGGCCACAGCAGAGAGCTGGCCTGGAAGAGGGGCAACCGGGACAGAATTCGGCGCCCCGACCGGGACTAGAACCCGGTGTGCCAGCGCTGCTAGGCGGAGGATTAGCCTAGTGAGGGGCATTTCTTAAAAATCTACTGAGATGGTAACCGTAGCTTGCCATTTCACTATTGGTAGAGGGATCATTTATTTTCTGTGCATGTGTGTATTTTATGAAGGGGTCTTCCACAAGCTCAGGGGCAAGGCATGTTGTGAACAACTATGCATGGATTTCAACTTTTTGTACCAAAATTTCCCCACAAGCTTTTTGAAGTTCCCTCATCTGTATGTGACCATGTTTCAGGGATGTTCTTCAAAGACTTTTGGAGGGAGTTGCATGCCTTGCAAATGAGAACGTGTGTAGTGGAGAGAGCAGGCCATGGAGGCAGAAGACAAGACATCAAGTTTGACTATAACTGTGGAGCAAGTCATTTGAGCGTTCTAAGGTCTGCACTCCTAGTACAAATAAGGACTAACAAAATGATGCGCTTCATAGGATTCATTTGTTTAGAGACTTAAATTAAGTAGCAGCTGAAATATGCTATAGAGATCTACTTGTTGATTATTCTACTAGACACAGAAGACTTAAACAGTTTCATACAAGTGTTTATCTAAGGAGATTATTTTACAACTAAGGCATCATAACATCCTGGATCCCTTGCTAAATATAGATATAGATTGAGTTCTATGAAGAGACAATATAGTTAAGAGACTGATAGCTAGACATTTATGTAACCATCTAATTGACCTTTCACAGAGTTTATAAATACACATAAGCTTTCAAGTTAGTCAATAACTATAAAGTGTGTTCTGGTAATATCAGAACAATGCAAAAACTCAATGGACCTAATAGCAAGCTACTCTCCTTTTATTCAACAACACCCTCTTCAGTCTCGTATTCAAGTTCTATTTCCCAGGCCACTTCATTCCAAAGAGTTTTGCTTTTCCGCACTACTGTTTTCAGAGTGCTTTCTAGAAACTAGAAACTAGGATACTCTTTAGAACTGGAGCAGGTGAGAAGATTTGCAGAAAGTGGGGAAGGTTTGAAATAGCCTTTGTGAAGAATGAAGCATGTTCATGTAGGACAAATGGTCTTATTAGTGGACCTTGGAGCCATTACAGTTGGAAAAATGCATTTGCAGAGGTGTAAATGAGGACATAGAAGCTTCTGCAGCAGCAATGGAGAATGGGAGAGAAGACAAGAAGGTGAAGTATTTTGATTCAATACTGAGTGGCTTTTTTTGGTTGATTAAAATAAACAGTAAGTGGCAAGGAGGTAGAAGGTATTGGCAAGAAAGTGATCGTAGGAATGCATAAGGGGAAGAAAGTGAAGATAGAAAGGGACAAAAATGGTGAGAGTAGCATATTCTAGAAGCTATCCATGGAAGCCATGACAGCTGATGACAAGATGTGAGATGACACTGAAGATGGTGACCTAACCTGAGTCTTAAAGTGACCAGAGGGCCCACCTGATGACCGAGACAAGGAATGGAAGAGTGGGATAGCCTAAGGACATGAACCTCAGAGAAGCCTGGACTCTAGGTGAGAAGGGTTCTGGAAGTTTCTAGGGTGCAGTGAGATTTCTGACTCACTCTCCAGACCCCTAAGACACATTGGTTGGGTGGAGAGAGCAACTTCTATTGGGGGGCATTCAGGAGAAAGAGTAATTTGGGGGAGCAGAGAGAGGGCAATGCAGGCATGACAGGTCAGCAGTGGTGGGATGGTTCTATAACTAGAGAAGGATGTGGGGAAAAGCCTTTACAAGATGAGGAGGCTTTTGGTTCTCTGTTGTGGAAACTACATTTCCTTTAAGGCTACCAGAGGAAGATTCTGATTTAAAACTGCCATTTAAAAATTTTAACCCTCTTAAAAACATCTTGCAAATATAGGATTAATACACTTTCCTATATTAGCAGGGAAGGCACAGGCAGCCAATTTTGTGAAGTTCTTTGGGCAGGCTTAAGACATTTTGCAGAGTGAGGGTTATAAATTAATTAGTTGTTAATAGAACAGCTGGCTCTCAAATTATATGATCAGACTCTGCTCTCAATGGTTGTTCTTCGATCCATTCTTAGGCGTGTTGCAATACATTTTCTACTCAAAGACTATAACATGCAAGGTCAGTTACACTTAGCCAAGAGTGTAACGCTGGGTCTTTTCCCGGTCCAGACTCCTGGCCAGGACTCGGGGGCATGTGCAGCATCAGCAGGTCTAGACTGTGATGCCATCCCCAGGACGGGGCCGTGGCTGCTGGTATGGGGAAGCAGGTTACCCGTGGGGAAAAATCAGTCTTCCACAGGTGTTTGCATCTAGGAAAAGATTGGTCATTCATAGAAGATGAATTCCTTATCACTGGCATGGTCATTTGAGTAATTGTAAGATAAATTGTTGTGTAAGCTACGAAAATACTCCAAGATTGCTGATAACTAAAGACTATCAGGGAAGCGCTTTACGCACCACTTATTACATAACCATGTGGGTCCCTGGGGTAGAATATTGGCCTGACTCTTGAACACCGTGGTAATTCCAGAAATTCTTGTTTTAAAAATACATGGTTGTTTTCTTACCCTTTGTTTTCTCAAAAGATGAAAAATTGCAATTACTTTGGATTTAATTATAATCCAACTTATTCAAAGCTTTTATGTTCAAAATGTCTGGGCAATGTCTGGCAGACACTAATGGTTTAATAAATGATTATTCAATGAAACAGAAGTCAGTAGATCATCAGGAAATTACTGGTAGAGCAATTCTTTTATGCTTGGGACATTAACTAGAATTTAAATTTTGGATGATAAAGATGCATGGAATGATATATATTACAATATTTTAAATTACTGTTTTATGCTTTATGATTCAAGCTAGTCAACTTCATGAGATAATAGAAGTACCTCTTTGTTGTTAATCATCACTACCAAAGAAGTTATTTTGCATGATATTTTACTTTTAAGTCCTGGAGGTTTTCTTAAGCCTGTCATTTAATAACAACTATAAAGAATTAATATCAACCAAAGATAAATCCCAAAGATTCTATTTTCAGACTTGTCCTAAGATAAGGAAATGGATTATTTTTTTTAAAAAAAAGATGTATTTATTTATTTGAAAGGCAGAGTTACATAGATAGAGAAGGAGACGCAGAGAAAGAGAGAGAGAGAGAAATAGAGGTCTTTCATCCACTGGTTCACTCCCCAATTGGCCGCAATTGTCGGAGCTGGACTGATCCAAAGCCAGGAGCCAGGAGCTTCTTCCAGGTCTCCCACGCAGGTGCAGGGGCCCAAGGACTTGGATCATCTTCCACTGCTCTCCCAGGCCATAGCAGAGAGCTGGGTCAGAAGTGGCACAGCTGGGATTCGAACCAGTGCCCATATGGGATGCGGGCACTGCAGGCAGAGGCTTTACCCACTATGCCACAGCACCGGCCCCTAGATTCATTTTCTTAAAAAAGTTTATAGGAGTGATTAAGTTGCCAGTGGAGATGTTCAATGATCCAATCAGAGTACCTGGGTTAGATACACAGCTCTGGCTCCTAACTCCAGCTCCTAGTGATGTAGATCTTGGAGGCAGTAGGGTTGGCCCTAGCAGTTGGGCTCCTGTCACCCACATGGGAGATCTGGGTTGGCTTCCTTGTAACCATCATTGGCCTTGGCCCAGTCCTGACTCTTCTTTCTCTCCCTCCCCCTCCCCTTCTCTTCACCTCTCCTTCTCCCTCTCTCCCTGTCCTTCTCTTTGCCTCTCAAATACATTTAGGGGCAAGTAGTAGTTGGTGCAGTGGTTAAGACACTGAGCTTATTAAAATATATTGGTATTCAGGATCATATCTAATTGAAATAATAGTGAAATTGCACTCATTGAAGGAAAACTTTAACTCCAGCATCCAAAAAGTATGTGCATCAAGTTGACTTCTTCACCATGGTGGGAAGAACCCAGAGACAAAAGTCATACTATTTAATAATCAGCCAAGAATTTGTTTTTCTTCCAGTTGTGTATGGATCCTGGTTTGATCATGTTTTAAGCTGGGAAGAGCACAAAAATGACAAAAATGTTCTAATTATATTCTACGAAGAAATGAAGAAAGTAAGTCTTCTCTAGTGTTTAACGATCAAAATTTAAATCAAATTAATTTAAAATAGGAAGTCAATGAATTCTGCTTTGAGGTTTCAGAGGATATATTTGCTGTTTTGATAAAACTTCTACTTTTTCTTTAAATCTGCTTACTGCTCAGGATCTTCCTAAGAATATAAAGAAAATAACAACTTTTCTTGGCATAAACGTGAGTGACAGTGACATTAATAAGATTGCCTGGAAAGCATCATTCAATGAAATGAAAACTAATGCAATCAAAGAAAACTGTGACCCCAATCATACCATCTGTGCACTCACATCTAACCGGAGCCTGGTATTCCGGAAAGGTAAGCCAGAAGATTTGGCGCTGGGTCTGGGGTGTATATTGGGGAGTGCAGTTGGTCCCCTGTATCTGCTGGTTCTGTAGGTGTGGACTCAACCAAATGCAGAACAAAAATATTAGGAGAAGAATTGCATCTGTACTAGACATGAACAGACTTTTTCCTGTCATTGTTGCCTAAACAATATAGTATAACAATCATTGACAGAACACTTGCACTGATCAGTCACAATAAGTAACCTAAGGTGAATTAAAGAATGGGGGATGTACATAAGCTATATGGAAACATTACAGCACTTTTATATGAAGAACTTGAATATCTGCAGAGTTTGGTATACATGGGGTCCAGGAACCCGTCCCTGTCCATACTAAGGGATGACTATAGTCTCATTTTTGCCACTTTCTTTTTCTTTTTTAAAATTTTTTTGAGATTCAATATTTTTAATTTACATAGTAGTCAAAGGCTTTATGGCTCTTCTGTGTAAAAGTTCAACAAATAAAAAGTAAAGGCACCACAGTCCAATAGGAAAATAGGCAAGGGCTATCCGACAATAAACCAGAGCAAAGATGCTCGACTTCACTCAGATAAAAGAAATTAAAAGTCACAAAATCATTATTACTGTAGTAGTGGACCTAATTCCAAACAATTTGTAAAGTTTGACAGAACATTGTATTGCCACCCTTTCAGTCTCTCATTTCACCATCATGCACCCTGTATATTGCTCATTGTCACCTTTTGGTGAATATTTATTTAATGGAATCCAAGAATTGCATTTTTTCCAGAGGTGAGATTTTCATGCCCAGTTAGGAACTGATTGAGAGATTCTCTTAGATATCAAACATGTGCCTCAGGCTTGTAGGCTGGGGCATTCACTGTTAAATTACCCTGTATCACACAAACATAGCCATGAAATCACAGCCAATCAAACGCAGTCCTCTTCCTCGGAGGGGACAGGCTAGCGGGGCCTGGTGGAAAGCTGTAGGTGCCACGTGTTCTTCTCAGGAGAAGGCAAGGCCCTGATGAGCATGGAGGGTACATTTCCCTAAGCCCACCACCTGGATAGCTCAGCCTCTGGTAGCAAGTAAGGGGTGGGAGAGGAGCAGGGGTTATCTGAGGATGTTACTCCTCAGGGAGATTCGAAGAGAAGGAAATAATCTTCCCAGGTTGAACTTAGAGGTATGTTGGATGCATTTGAACAGAGAATTGTTTCAAAGTCCATGTGAATTTTTATTCAGATCAGGGTGGGGGATATATTATAACTTAAAAAGGCCACAGTTTCTATATTTATGTAATCACGTTTCTTATTAGAAAAGATATCTGTGTCCCTTCTTTGGCCCAAACAAGTATAACGGTGGTGGCTCCAGACTTGGGTCCCTGCTACCCTCATGAGAGACATGGATGTAGTTCCTGGCTCCTGGCTTCAGCCTGACCAGCCCTGGACACTGCAGGCATTTGGGGAGTTAACAAGTAGATGGAAGATTCATATTCTCTCTCTCTCTCTCTCTCTCTCTCTCTCTCTCTCTCTTTCCCTCTCCCTCTCTCCCTTTGTCTCTCTCTCTTTCACCGTCCCAAACCCATGTGCATCTCTGCCTTTCAAAGAAAATTAAAATGCATCAATTTTAAAGGTATTTAAAAAGAACTGTTCTTCCAAGAAGTTTGAGAATAGAGAGTAGAAGCAACAGGATGTGGAATCTGTGAAGAGGCAGGGACAAAGAAAAGATTAGGAGGGACTGGGAAAGTCAGGGAGAGTTTAGAAAAAGATACAGGAAGAAGAGCAAAATAAGCAAAAGGGTGAGAATCACAAAGACTTTGGGAGAGATCTTATAAAGAGGGCAATGAAGAATAAGGAAATTCTGATACTTAGTGCTACTGTGGACATCTTTTATTACTGCCCTTTGAGATTCTGATTAACAAGATAATCAATATTGACAGTCTTATCCTACAAACTTGTGAAATCTTACTGGAACAGGAATGAGTTAATCTCTAACCTGCCACACTAGTAACCCTAGCAATTACCCCCAGGTGAACTCAAATCTACATCACTGTAGCTAACAACATTAATTCCAGAGCATTTAAATTCCATCTAGTCAATGTTTTCCTTGTACTGGATCTAAGCCCATAAGATTAACAGTAGACACTGTCTAACTCCATTAGTCAGCAAGAGTGCCTGTTGGTAAGTCTGTGCTATTCAAAGACAATCACAGGATGGGCCAATAGAACTTGTTCAGTTGACTCCTTCAATTGGATGGAGGCAGTGGGAGTTGGGGATCCATCCTCTGAAAATAATCACTTCAAAGTCATTGATTACAGACGAGAATTTATGCCTACATGAAGTCAGATATAATCTGGAAAGGACTATGGTGGACAGAGAGAAAAGGTGACAAATGAGAAGATCAAGGGTCTACATATATTAAAAATTAGGGGAAGAAACCATAGGAGTGTGGAAAGATGCAAAGGCAGGATTGATGTTGCAGTATTGGTTATAACAAAACCTGGGAAGCACTTAAATCATCTCTAATCAGAAACTGAGTCACATCCATACAGAAGTTGATTATCAAGTCATGAAAATATAGATTATATAAGCATAGCTGGCATTTCTTGAGCACCTACCACGTGCCAGGTGCACGACTTGTTTATCTGATTTAAATTTGACAATAGACTGGAGGATGATTTTCATGGTCTCCATGTGTTACTGAGAACCCAAGCACCCGATGAACTGGTCCAAAGTCACACGACTAGCGTGTGGTAATGGCAAGATTTGAGTGCAGACAGGCTTAATTATTTGAGCCTTTTCTTAGTCTAGCAAAGGTTAGTCAATTTTGTTTATCTTTTCAAAAGATGAAGTATTCATTCTATTAATTTTGTCTTGTTTTTCTATTCTCTAGTGTGCTTATTTCTGCTTTAATCTTTACTCTTCTTTTAGCTCACTTTGGACTTAATTTTTTCTTCTTTTACTAGTTGAGTGGTAAAGTTGGGTTGTTTATTTGAGATCTTTCTTCTTGTTGAGCATGGACATTTGCTATTAAATATTACCCTCTTACTACTGCATTTGGTGTATCCCATAAATTTTGGTATGTTGTATTCTCATTTTTGTTTGTCCTAAGATATTTTCTAATTTTCTTTTCAGTTGCTTCTTTGATCCATTATTTGTCTTATTTTCCTCCAATATTTACTATACATATATATGTATAAATATAAAATCAAAGTAAAAATTAAATGAGCACAAAAAGCAGGTTATAATCGTGTAGTTTTAAATGTAGGTTATACACATGCATATGTTTACGAAGAAAACACCTGGGAGAATGTGTGTCAGCAAATCTGCTATCCATGTTGGCTGTGTGTAGTCCTTGGCTCTTCTCTTCCTTGCTTATCTGTATTTTCTGTGACCTACATATATAACTACTATATTATTTTAGAGGATTTTTTCCTTAAAAATAGTAAAATCCACAGTGAAAGATCAAGGCAAGCAAACAGCAGAAATCCATGCAAATGAAGGAAGACTACAGTGGTTCAGGGACAGGGATAGGCCAGCTGGAAGGCAGAGCTAGGATGGACCAGAGACCCAGAGACTCTTGTTAAGTGGCCAGGACTTTTCACTCTTTTGCTTCATGGTGTTAGCTTTGTGCCCATCTCGGTGTGTGTTTTAGAAGTGATGTCACTTCCTGGCTCTGACATCTGCCCTCCAGTTCTACTCTCTTTTCCCTGTCCCTCTCACCTCCACTTTTTATTTCCCAACAGAATTCCTCTTTGCACCTTCTTAAATTCAGGAAGAAGCAACAGTGACATTGCCTCAGTTGTGGTATATTCCTTTGCTGTGGGTGACATTGTCTCACATCCAAGCAAGTTACAGTGTGTTTCCTGCACACCCCATTGGCTGCCGGTCAGCACTGGGGTAGGCGATGCAGGATTACACGTGAATAATCCACCACAGTCCCTAATTTGGGAGAGTTTATAAGCCAGTTGGCAAGGAAAGAACAGAAAGCCACGTAAGACACTCTGGGAAGGGCTGGAGTGATGTACCTCTGGCTCTAGTGTTTGTGGACCCCTGGGATGCAGCTTGAGAACCAAAATGGCAAAAGACCACGGTGGGCAAGAGCCAGGGCTGGGGTTTGGTACGGTGTGTGTAGTGGAAGTGACAAGGGTTGATCCTGTGGCCAGTGCTGACAAAGGGACTTTGCGTGGTCAACGAGGGCTGATGGACTGTGTGAAGTATTTCTCTAACCTTAATCACTGAACACCGTATATTAAAGGTGAGGATGTCACACAAGTCGCTTGGTGTTTGTCTTCAGTTGTCTGGAATTAATTTTATAAAATAAATTTCCTGAAAGTGTGACCAGTTACCCACCCCTGTGACAGGTTACCATCACAGCTTCTGCTTTGCGGGTACCCAGTAGGGAAATAAATGTTATGTCCATATTGTCTATTATATGGTTCTATTAACTTTAGGTTTCAAACTTCTTTTCTTGCTACAGTAAAATCTATCATGTTTAAGAAACAACTTTTTAAACTGCACAGTGGCAGGAATTTGGCCTAGCAGCTGAGCCACAATGCCCAATTCCACATTGCAATGCCTGGCTTTGATGCCCAGTTGTGGCTCCTGACTTTGTCTTCCTTCTAATTCAGACCCTGGGAGGCTGCAGTGATGGCTCGAGTGGTTGGGTTTCTGCCCTTATTTGAGATCTTTCTTGAGTTCCCAGCTCCTGGCTTTTGCCTCAGCCCAGGCCCAGCCATTGTGGGCACTTAAGGACTAAACCAGCAGACGGGAGCTCTGTCTCTATTTATCTCTTTCTCTCTCAAATAGGAAATAAAAAATGAAAAATAAAAAAACCCACAAGTGGATATACCACCATTGAAAAAGAAACTAGAAACAACAGATAAGAAACCAAATTTTAATCCCCCCATTATCACCAAGCGATACATTTTGTTATAAAGCTAACTTCTTTTGTGAATATTACACATTTGAATTTGTTCTTATCTGATGCATTTCCAATTTTTCCAGGAGTGGTGGGTGATTGGCTAAACTACTTTACTCCAAGACAGAAGAAAGCATTTGATGCACTATTCACGGAGAAAATGAAACACAGCGAACTGGCAAGACGCTTGCAGGAGTACTCGACATAAATGGGAAAGGAAACCAGTTTTCATTTATGCAATGTGGTGCTTGGGGACTATGTAAATATTTTCACCCGCGTGGAAAGCAGTTATTACTTTCAATGAGGAACAGATACTTTATGAATGTGTCAATCGCATCTTGTGTGAGCGATGGTTATTATTATATTCAGTGCTAGGAGAGTTATTAATGAAAGGAAGTATAGCATTTTTGAAAGGCTCAAATACATATTAGGTTGCAGGATGTTCAGTAAGACAAGGGATTAGTTCTCTTCAGGAAGAGCATGTTAATGGATTGTTCTATAAACTGCAGGAATGGGTTACAAAAGAGGTGAGGGATAATCTAAAATATCACAGTGTGTGGCAAGAACTTCTTTTCTATTTATCTGGACAATCATGACCTTGAGAAAAACATTTTTATTTCAACCTTTATTTCAACGTTTCCCCAGTGCCTGTGCAGAAGTGTGCTCCGGTGTCATGAGAGTGAGAAACATGATCTTTCTACAGTGAAAGCGCGTGCTAGGTAGATTCTCTCGATGACCGCATTCCAATACGTGCCCACAAGGAAGGAAAGACATTCTTGTATTAATGCTGACTTGGCATTCTAGTATTTTCTTTCATCAAATCAGCTGAATTACAAAATTTCTTATTTTCCAGTTTAAAAAAAATACAATTTTGGGGGCTGGCACTGTGATGTAGCAGGCAAAGCTGCTGCCCACCATGCCAGCATCCCGTATGGACACTGATCTGTATCATGGCTGCTCCACTTTTTTTTTTTTTTTAATAATTGTTTGCTTATTTGAAATACAGAGTTACAGAGAGTCAAAGGGGGAGAGAGAGAGAGAGAGAGAGAGAGAGAGAGAGAGAGAGAAAGGCCAGAGCTTCGCCAATCTGAAGCCAGGAGCCAAGAGCTCCTTCTGGGTCTCGTATGTGGGTGCAGGGAACCCAAGGACTTGGGCCATCTTCTACTGCTTTCCCAGAAGCAGAGCATCAGGGACTCGAACTGGTGCCCATATGGGATGCCGGCAGTGTAGGTGGTGGCTTTACCCGCTACCCCACAGAGCCACATCCCTGCTCCACTTATGATCCAGCTCCATGCTAATGGCTTGGAAAAGCCACAGTGCATGGCCCAAGTGCTTGGGCCCCAGGCACCCATGTGGGAGACCTGGATGAAGTTCTTGGCATTGGCCTGGCCCAGCCTCAGCTGTTGAGACCATCTGGGGAGTGAAGCAGCAGATGGAAGATTTTTCTTTCTGTCTCTGTCTCTCTCTCTCTCCCTACCTCCCTCTATAACTCTGACTTTCAAATAAATAGGTAAATCTTTAAAAAAAATAGAACTTTCCTTGAAGTCTTTATTATTCTTTAAAGTATGAAATATTGAATATGCCTAATTCCTCCCGGAAGCATTTTCAATATTAATTCAATCTCCACAATTCTTTCTCTTGTAATGACTATTATTTCTGAGCTATAGCCTAGGGAACATTGTAATGAAACTTCAGTGAACTTATTTTAGGATTATTTATTACCTAAGTGATGATATACAAATTATGTCACAGCTTACATCTGCCATGGTTTCTCATTCAAGGCTGAATGGGAAATCAAAAGTGCATATTGTGTTTGACTCTAAGCTCTGAACTCAAAGCAATGGACTGAGTTACTTCCAACACTTTGATTTTGTACCTTACCGTATGATAAATCTATGCAAATTTTTAGCAACAAGTATATTTGCAATCTTTTCTATCAGATTTATCATAATTCAGTAAGGAATGCGATCTTCATAAATCTCTGTATATACAGTTTTGTTACAAATAAACATTTTTCTTTCAGCCTCATGCGAGTCTTTTCTTCAAAATTAACATTCATGGAGATTTACTTAGACTTCTCCCCTCAAATAAATGAGGTTAGTGAATGGCAGTTAGGTGTGGGCTTGGTCAAGTCTTCCTGTGCATCTTGAAGGTAAAGGCGTACGTGACACTGATTGTCAGGAATGACGATGTCATCCAGCATAAGGCTCAGGGGGTGTGACAAGACCGGCAAAGGAAGAAAAGAGTGAGCAGTGGTGCCGGGTGCGAGGAAGCAAAGCCTCTCACGAGGTCACTGATATGCAAAGCACTCAGTGAAGTGAAGCTCTTTTTGACAATAAGATGGGATTTTAGATCTGTCAGCTGGCCTTCAGTGTTACAGTCCAACTTTGATAAGAACTTGTATACAGCCAGTAACCTCAGGATTTAGATAAGAACCCTAATTTCCAGTTCCTTTTAAGGCAGTCAAAAGTAGTTTTGAATCCTCTGCTCCTCATTTGGGAGATCAGATGGAGAGCCAGGCTCCTGGCTTTGGCTCGGACCAGCCCTGACCATTGCAGCCATTTGGGAAAAGGACCAGTGTAGGGAAGACCTCTCTCTCTCTCTCTCTCTGTCATACACACACACACTCACACACACACACAAACACCAATCAGGAAATCTTTTTCAAAAGTATTTTAAGGTCCTTTCTCTGTGCCAGGCTCTACTGTACACTGTGGGGACACAGCATAAACTTGGAAGAAGCCCTACTCTCAAGATGCTTATCTTCTGTAGGGAGTGGATCATTAAAAAAAAAAAAAATCAAACATTAAGAGATACACCAGGCACCACTATGAGCATCAAGAAGACACAAGAGGGGGAGGGAGTGGACAGTGACTGCAGAGCTGCCTTAGCTGGGGTGTTTGGCTCGAGTCTCTGAGGAGGAGGTATGGAGCTCCTTCATGAATGAGGCATCATGGTGTGCATAGGCTTAGAAGCATGGCAACGAGTCTGGATTTCATTCTAGACAGGCGATTTTCCCCAGGAGAGTCAGAGATTCTGACATGCTTTTGAAAAGCCCTTCTGATCACTGGATGAAGGATGGACCAGAAGGATCTAGGAAAGAGGCAGGGATGAGTGAGTATGGAGTGTTGTAGGTGGGAGGACAGCGTGGCAGCAGCGATGTGAGAAATGGCCAGTTGCAAAATATAATATGGTATTAGGCTAACCTAACTAATAACATGAGGAGACTCAAAAGTCTGTGGAAACATGGGATGAAGAAAGGGGCGGGAGTTGTGGCCAAGTGGGCAAAGCCGCTGCCTGTGCCTACGGGCACTGGCTCGTGTCCTGGCTGCTCCAGTTCCTGTCTGGCTCCCTGTTAATGGCCTAGGAACAGTAGCACAAGGTGGTCCAAGTGTTTGGGCCCCTGCCCCCCATGTGAATGAAGCTCCTGGCTCAGCCTCTGCCAGCTGTTGCAGCCATTTGGAGAGGGAGAGTGAAGCAGCAGATGGAAGACCTCTCTCTCTCTCTGTTTCCCACCTCTCTCCCTGTAACTCTTTCAAAATAAATAAATAAAAATCTTTTAAAAAGATGGAATTCAGAACGTGCTATAGTTTGATGATTTGTCTCCCAAACTCATGTGTTCATTTATTTATACACCAGAAAAGCAGAAATTAATGGTACTAAGAGTGTGGAAATTTAACCCAATTATGGTGCTTAGGATATGGGCCTAGTAGGAGGAGCTTAGAGCCTTGAAGTATGCCCCTGGAAGGTAATTCCTAGGAGAGGGCTGGGGTAAAAGCTTCAATTGGGCTCGGCTGTTGGCTGATGGCTGGCTTGCCATGGTGATTCTTCTTGGCAGGTGCTCCACCATTCGCCATCCCCTGGCTCACGTGATGGCCTCACCAGTGGAGCCTGTCAAATCTTGGACCAGGGACGCCCCAAATCATGAGCCCAAAAAGTCCTTTCCCTATAGGTAGCTTGCCTTAGGTATTTCTTTGAAGAGACAAAACACTAACTCAAAAGGTAAGTTTGTTTTGGTGCAAAGTAACTGAAATTCGTGCATAATTTTTTCATGGTAGGCATTTCTTCATGAACTTTTTGAAGATCCCTTCTGTAGGAGTAAAAGACAGGAAGGTATATATGATAAAGCCTAGATTTGGGGCTAATCCACTGAATATCTGACAGTGGCATTTATTTAGAAGAGAAGGCTTAATGGCAAAATGATTTGGGGAGGGGAGAAGGAGAGACTGGATAAGGTTTTGACCACACTATTTGCAGCATTTATGAGACACCAAGTGGCTGGATCCTAGAAGCTCTCTGATACCTGCTGTGTTCCGGGAGACTGACTCAGATTAGATTTTCATAACAGTATAGAAACGAGCATTTCTGTGATGAATGACTTGGGGATCTTGGACTTCAGAGAGTGGCTGAGATAGTTTCAGAAATCAATCAAGATCGATTGATCAAGCAAGTCAGACTACAGGAAGTGTATAAGCTGGTCATTACTTGGCTTGCTTCCATTTAAACAGTTCAGTGATAATGTATATGATGTTAAAATGGCCTTAGCCTTCTCTTTTATTTTCATAAGGGTTTTATTTGATTTTCTTGATTTGTGAGAGGCAGACGGAGAGCTCTCATCTGCTGGTTCACTCCTCAGATGTCCCCAGTGAGCCCCTCTTTGAAGCTGGAAGCTGAGAACTTAAACCAGGTCAGCCACATAGGTGGTGGGAACCCAGCTCCTGCAGCCAGAGCCAGGAATCACACCCAGGCATGCAAGCACCTTAACCAGCAGACCAAACCCACCCCTCATGAAAGAATTTTTATAACCAGCTTTAAAATCCCTGTTTGTAAGCTCACATCTTGGAAAAATGATTTTGTCAAAGCTGATTCTGTACCCAAGAGTGCACCTCTGACAACAGCACCCAGGAGTTGTCTTCATGCACACAAATAGAACTGAATAAGTAATTGGGTTTTTTTTTTTCATTAAAGAGGCCCAAAAGAAACCAAAATATCCTTAAGTGGTTACTTACCTTTTTTTCTTTTACCTACTAAAAAGATCAGATGCGACCACGCATGCAATCCACCACTATCTACATTTCAGCGACTCTCACCTTAATTCACTCCCATGGATTGAGTCTGTCCCTGGAAGCCTGTGCAAAGTTCACAAACACACACAGAAGACTCTAGTAAGTTCCCTCCAGTCCTACTGCCCATCCTTTGCCCATTTCCTTTGTCATTGGCCAGGGAGCAGAAGCGATGGCCAGACAAGCTGGCCAGGTGCATGAAATCACCTGGCTTCCTGGAGCCCTGGGCCGCCCATTGCCCCGGTAGCCACGCCCACGGGGTTTCCCCTTTACAGAAGTTGGGGCTCTTTCCGCTGAACTCTGACCCAGCTCTTTGCATTGTCACTTCCTTGGTGCTTAGGACACAAGCTCACTTGCCTCTCTTCTTGGAAACAGCCTCCCACAGTTCTCCAGTGATTCCCTCCCTCGCTCCCCCCCCCCCCCCCGTTAAGTTCTCGGCCCTCTCACTTCCCTTTATAGTCAATGAGTAATTGGTAAATCCTGGTCATTCTTCCCAGCATGCCTGTGCCTTCAAGGCATCTGTCCCCACCAGTGGTCTAGCCCCAGCTCTGGGGGCAGCCTGCTCTATTCGTCCCACACCTCGCCTTCCTTACTCGTCATTTCTCCTGCATCGATGACACTGACTCTGCCCCAGTTTGCTCTCCACACTCAGCCTTGGGGGCCTTGTATCGTGAGGTAAGTGTTCCCACTCCGGTTTGTATCTGACCCTTTGCCGGTTAGGGTCCGTGTCCGTTCATTTTTGAATCCTCTGTCACTCCTAACTCAGGACAGCAGAGTAGATGTTTACCAGTTTGTTGTGTGAATTGAGTTCATGGACCAGCTAAATTTCTCCCCTTTCCAGGGAATGGAGTTCCAATACCACAACCCACCTGGGTCCTGTTTTTGTAGTCTGTCATTACGCCATGTCTACATTAGGCAAATCTGGTTTTATTTTTTCACATAACCATATATTCCTTCCTATTATTGTGTAATAATAAAACATCATGTAAGTGTTTTCCCAATTTTACTGTCACCTGACAGAGACGGATTGGGAAGCTCTTCCGGGAACTGTTGCAGTATGTGACACACAGAAATTGTTCAATACATGTATGTTGAATGAAAAAAATGAGGGGCCGGCGCCATGGCTCACTTGGTTAAGCCTCCACCTGCGGCGCCAGCATCCCATATGGGTGCTGGGTTCTAGTCCCAGTTGCTCCTCTTCCAGTCCAGCGCTCTGCTGTGGCCCGGGAGGGCAGTGGAAGATGGCCCAGGTGCTTGGGCGCCTGCACCTGTGTGGGAGACCAGGAGGAGGTGCGTGGCTCCTGGCTTTGGATCGACGCAGTGCACAGGCCGTAGCAGCCATCTGGGGAATGAACCAACGGAAGGAAGACCTTTCTCTCTTTCTATCACTGTTTAAATCTGCCTGTCTTAAAAAAAAAAAAAAAAAAAAAAAAAAAGTAAATGAATGAATGACTTAAACATTAATGATGGCCGGCGCTGCAGCTTAATAGGCTAATCCTCCGCCTGCGGCGCTGGCACCCCCGGTTCTAGTCCCGGTCGGGGCGCCGGATTCTGTCCCGGTTGCTCCTCTTCCAGTCCAGTTCTGTGCTGTGGCCCGGGAGTGCAGTGGAGGATGGCCCAAGTGCTTGGGCCCTGCACCTGGATGGGAGACCAGGAGAAGCACCTGGCTCCTGGCTTCGAATCAGCGTGGTACGCTGGCCGCAGCGCACCAGCCGCAGTGGCCATTTGGGGGTGAACCAATGGAAAAGGAAGACCTTTCTGTCTCTCTCTCTCACTGTCTAACTTTGCCTGTCCAAAAAAAAAAAAAAATTTAATGAACACACTCCTATCTCTTTATCCACCAGTTCAGACTACTAATCCAGTAGGAATGAGTGCTTAAAGACATTACTTTTGCTTTTCTTCCACTTTCCAAATCAAACACATCATAGTATACTATTGTTTCTTGCTTTTCAATACTGGTTGAGC